AGATTGAAAAACCGAAAAATCTTAAAATTCAGAAGTCGAAAACTTTTCCTAAATTTTCGATTTCTCAGTTTCTGATTAACTAATTTTTTTGATTTTTCGACTTTACGGCTTCTCGATGTTTCGACGTTTCGACTTTTCGATTTTTTGATTTTCCCATTTCTGGATTTATCGACTTTTTAATGTTTTGATTTCTCGAGTTCTCGATTTTTCAGTTTTTTAATTCTTCAATTTTTCGATTTTTCGACTTTTTAAGTATGAAATTTTCTTCGATTTTTAAATTTTTCGATATTTCAATTTTGGGATTTTCCAATGTTTTAAATAAGTAATTTTCCTCGACCTTTCTAAATTTTTTGATATTTCAGTTTTGTGATTTTTAAATTTTAGGTTTTGCAGTTTTTTGACGTTTCGATTTCTTGATCTGACGATTTTTCGAGTCAAAAATTGAAAATTTGAAAAATCGAAAAATTTAAGAAAAGAAATGAAGATTCGAAAAACTAAAAAAACTGTAATATCGGAAAATTGAGAAATAGAAAAAAAAATCCCATCAGAGAATTATTGAAATATTGAGTAACCGAAAAATTTAAATTCGCGAAATTGAAAAATTTAAACACCGAAAGATTAAAAAAAAATCGAAAAACCAAAATTTTTAAGATTGAAACACCGAAAAATCTTAAAATCCAGAAGCCGAAAACTTTTCCTAAATTTTCGATTTCCCAATTTCTGGATTAACTAATTTTTTTGATTTTTCGACTTAACAGTTTCTCGATTTTTCGACGTTTCCACTTTTCGATTTTTTTATTTTCTCATTTCTGTATTTATCGACTTTTTAATGTTTTGATTTCTCGACTTCTCGATTTTTCAGGTTTTTAATTCTTTAATTTTTCGATTTTCCGACTTTTTAAGTATGAAATTTTCTTCGATTTTTAAATTTTTCGATGTTTCAGTTTTGGGATTTTCCAATTTTTTAACTAAGTAATTTTTCTCGACTTTTCTAAATTTTTTGATATTTCAGTTTTGTGATTTTAAAAATTTTAGATTTTTCAGTTTTTTGACGTTTCGATTTCTTGATCTGACGATTTTTCGAGTCAAAAACTGAAAAATTGAAAAATCGAAAAATTTAAGAATAGAAATGAAGATTCGAAAATCTAAAAAAACTGAAACGTCGGAAAATCGAGAAATAGAAAAAAAATCCCAGCAGAGAAATATGGAAAAATTGAGTAACCGAAAAATTTAAATTCGCGAAATTGAAAAATTTAAACACCGAAAGATTAAAAAAAATCGAAAAACCAAAGTTTTTAAGATTGAAACACCGAAAAATCTTAAAATCTAGAAGTTGAAAAACTTTTCCTAAATTTTCGATTTCTCAAGTTCTGGATTAACTGATTTTTTTGATTTTTCGACTTAACGGTTTCTCGATTTTTCGACTCTTCGAATTTTTTAATTTTTTGATTTTCCCATTTTTGGATTTATCGACATTTTAATGTTTTGATTTCTCGAATTCTCGATTTTTCAGTTTTTTAATTCTTCAATTTTTGATTTTCCAACTTTTTTAAGTATGAAATTTTCTTCGATTTTAAAATTTTTCGATCTTTCAATTTTGGGATTTTCCAATTTTTTAAGTATGTAATTTTCCTCGACTTTTCTAAATTTTTTAATATTTCAGTTTTGTGATTTTTAAATTTTAGATTTTTCAGTTTTTTGACGTTTCGATTTCTTGATCTGACGATTTTTCGAGTCAAAAATTGAAAAATTGAAAAATCGAAAAATTTAAGAATAGAAATGAAGATTCGAAAAACTAAAAAAACTGAAACGTCGGAAAGTTAAGAAATAGAAAAACAATCCCATCAGAGAAATATTGAAAGATTGAGTACCCGAAAAATTTAAATTCGCGAAATTGAAAAATTTAAACATCGAAAGATAAAAAAAAAATCGAAAAACCAAAATTTTTATGATTGAAAAACCGAAAAATCTTAAAATCCAGAAGTCGAAAACTTTTCCTAAATTTTCGATTTCTCAATTTCTGGATTAACTAATTTTTTTGATTTTTCGACGCTTCGAATTTTTGGGTTTTTTGATTTTCCCATTTTTGGATTTATCGACTTTTTAATGTTTTGATTTCTCGACTTCTCGATTTTTCAGTGTTTTTAATTTTGGGATTATCCAATTTTTTAAATAAGTAATTTTCCTCGACTTTTCTAAATTTTTTGATAGGTGTCTCAGTTTTGTGATTTTTAAATTTTAGATTTTTCAGTTTTTTGACGTTTCGATTTCTTGATCCGACGATTTTTCGAGTCAAAAATTGAAAAATTGAAAAATCGAAAAATTTAACAATAGAAATGAAGATTCGAAAAACTAAAAAAACTGAAACGTCGGAAAATTGAGAAATAGAAAAAAAAATCCCTTCAGAGAAATATTGAAAGATTGATTAAACGAAAAATTTAAATCTCGAAATTGAAAAATTTAGACACTGAAAGATAAAAAAAAATCGAAAAACCAAAATTTTTATGATTGAAACACCGAAAAATCTTAAAAGCCAGAAGTCGAGAACTTTTCCTAAATTTTCGATTTCCCAATTTCTGGATTAACTGATTTTTTTGATTTTTCGATTTAACGGTTTCTCGATTTTTCGACGTTTCGACTTTTCGAATTTTTGATTTTCCCATTTCTGGATTTATCGACTTTTTCATGTTTTGATTTCTCAACTTCTCGATTTTTTAGTTTTTTAATTCTTCAATTTTGCGATTTTTCGACTTTTTAAGTATGAAATTTTCTTCGATTTTTAAATTTTAGATTTTTCAATTTTGGGATTTTCCAATTTTTTAAGTAAGCAATTTTCCTCGATTTTTCAAAATTTTTTGATATTTCAGTTCTGTTAAAATCCAAAAGTCGAAAACTTTTCCTAAATTTTCGATTTCTCAAGTTCTGGATTAACTGATTTTTTTTTATTTTTTGACTTAACGGTTTCTCGATTTTTCGACGCTTCGAACTTCGAATTAACTTTTTAATGTTTTGATTTCTCGAATTCTCGATTTTTTAGTTTTTTAATTCTTCAATTTTGCGATTTTCCAACTTTTTAAGTATGAAATTTCCTTCGATTTTTAAATTTTTCGATCTTTCAATTTTGGGATTTTCCAATTTTTTAAGGAAGTAATTTTCCTCGACTTTTCTTAATTTTTTGATATTTCAGTTTTGTGATTTTTAAATTTTAGGTTTTGCAGTTTTTTGACGTTTCGATTTCTTGATCTGACGATTTTTCGAGTCAAAAATTGAAAATTTGAAAAATCGAAAAATTTAAGAAAAGAAATGAAGATTCGAAAAACTAAAAAAACTGTAATATCGGAAAATTGAGAAATAGAAAAAAAAATCCCATCAGAGAATTATTGAAATATTGAGTAACCGAAAAATTTAAATTCGCGAAATTGAAAAATTTAAACACCGAAAGATTAAAAAAAAATCGAAAAACCAAAATTTTTAAGATTGAAACACCGAAAAATCTTAAAATCCAGAAGCCGAAAACTTTTCCTAAATTTTCGATTTCCCAATTTCTGGATTAACTAATTTTTTTGATTTTTCGACTTAACAGTTTCTCGATTTTTCGACGTTTCCACTTTTCGATTTTTTTATTTTCTCATTTCTGTATTTATCGACTTTTTAATGTTTTGATTTCTCGACTTCTCGATTTTTCAGGTTTTTAATTCTTTAATTTTTCGATTTTCCGACTTTTTAAGTATGAAATTTTCTTCGATTTTTAAATTTTTCGATGTTTCAGTTTTGGGATTTTCCAATTTTTTAACTAAGTAATTTTTCTCGACTTTTCTAAATTTTTTGATATTTCAGTTTTGTGATTTTAAAAATTTTAGATTTTTCAGTTTTTTGACGTTTCGATTTCTTGATCTGACGATTTTTCGAGTCAAAAACTGAAAAATTGAAAAATCGAAAAATTTAAGAATAGAAATGAAGATTCGAAAATCTAAAAAAACTGAAACGTCGGAAAATTGAGAAATAGAAAAAAATCCCATCAGAGAAATATTGAAAAATTGAGTAATCGAAAAATTTAAATTCGCGAAATTGAAAAATTTAAACACCGAAAGATTAAAAAAAATCAAAAACCAAAATTTTTAAGATTGGAACACCGAAAAATCTTAAAATACAGAAGTCGAAAACTTTTCCTAAATTTTCGATTTCTCAAGTTCTGGATTAACTGATTTTTTTAATTACAAAATTTCAAAAAAAGGAAAAATTCAAATTTAAAAATCTAAAAATCCAAAAAAGGATCTCGGAGTCCCCTCGTGTTAATTTGTCTGAACCCCCATTCGATTCATCTCCAGCGTCCATAAAACACGTAACAATCGTAGAAAAAAGCCAACGATTTCCCGTCCAGAAAACCGGACCTGTGCCAAGCCATACACAAAGCGCTCGATTAGGCGCCGGACCGCTTTTCCAGAACCAAAAATCCATAATTCTTGGAAGAAAAACCGAACAATTGCATTCACGTTGACACGACAAAACTAATCCGTTTATCAGCCGCGCTGCATCGATTTTTTTTTCTACCACCACCAACAACTTCTGGTTATTACCGGCTAATCGTCCATCCCCCAATCGTCCAGATGTTGTAATTATTGATGTACGGCGGCCGGTTTGGTAACCCATATCCAGTCGGCGGCTCCGCGTTGGCGGCGGCGACTTTTAAATAAACGCCGGGCGCCGTCTGGATGCTGGCTGATGATGCCAGTTTTACAGACTTGCCAAGCTCGACGACAGTCTAACACAGATTTTCACATGGGTCGTGACAAATTCGAAAACTTGTATTAGTTTCCAGAACGTTGATGTTTCCGAGATTTGCGGATAAATAAATGCTCGTGACGGATCGGAAATGTTGGCGGAATCATTTAGGTAGAAATTTCGGCTAGTTTTCGAAAGTGTACAATTTGTGACGTTGTTCCAGGTTGGCTGCAGCGCAGGAGGCGGCGGCACAGGCGGTGCAGCAGCAGACGGGGGCGGGCGCAGCTGATACAATGGGGGGCGCCAGCGCGGCAGGGGGGCAGGGGCCCAGCTCTTTGTTCCTGTTCTCTGAAGAGAACATAATTCGTAGACATACGCGCTTCATCATCGAGTGGCCATATCCTTTTACGCACTCGTTGCACGCGAAATTTTTTCTTTTCACAGGTGGGTTATAGTTGTTTTCCTTAATTCCGACTTACTCCGTTTGAGTATGCCGTGCTTTTGACAATCATAGCCAACTGTGTGGTGCTGGCACTGGAGGAGCACCTGCCCAATCACGACAAGACTTTATTAGCACAAAAACTAGTAAGTAACGAGTCGTAGTGTGATTTATTAGTAATTTGTAACGTTGTTTGTTTGTATTTTTCAGGAAGCAACCGAAGTTTACTTTCTAGGAATATTTTGTGTTGAGGCTTCGTTAAAGATTTTAGCGTTAGGTTTCGTTCTACACCGAGGCTCTTACCTCCGTAACATTTGGAACATAATGGATTTTTTTGTGGTGCTTACGGGGTAAGTGGTGTTCTCGTACCCGTTTGCCATTTCTTGTCCAGGATGACGGAAGAGTCGGTGTCGCGTAAGTGGCGCAGTCGGTGGGTTTGCGTCATCCTGGACGTGGAGAATGAGATGATTTCAGGCAACGATTGCATTCGATGTTTTGTTTATGTACTGTATGTGTAATCTTGTCAGGTCTATGACAGTTTTTGCCGAAGCGAACGTTGACGTTGATCTGCGGATGTTACGGTCTTTCCGCGTGTTGCGACCGCTCAAGTTGGTGTCCAGGATCCCAAGTAAGGGCCGAAAAAGAATTCAGACCACCACTCTAACTGTCTAGTTCGGGCTGTAGACCAGACTAGACTATTTAGACGGTTTTAGACCATAGCAGTTATAGATTTAGACCACTACACCACCTTATATACTGTTATTACAATTATTATTGAGTATTACGGTAGGATAGGAGTTTTTTGGGTACTGTCGATGTCTTCGTTTCTCAGCCATTACTCTCATGATTGCGCGCGGTGTGCATGTCTGTATAACGTAGGTAGACAGTGCTCGATGCATATATTAGGGGAAGAGGGCCCAAAGCGGGCACCATAAGGAAAAATATTAAAAAAAGTAGTTTATGGATAATCTAGATCCTTTAAATTTTTATATTATAATGCTTGATTTAACCCTTTTCAATGATGCATAATTAAAATTGAAGAAAGTTTATCAAAAAAAAAGTTAGAAGCAGATAACTAAATCTTTACAACTGCCCGCTTTGCCCTACGGGGAGGCCTAAAGCGGGCATTCAGCTAGGGCAAACCAGGCAATGGTTAAGGTTGGCGTCTGGTTCGGTTTCGCTCTATACTAAATACATTGAAAACATTGTCGGGGTTTCCGGAATTGCATTTTAGAAATACTGAAGTCTGCAACCAAACCAGAAGTTAAGTAAGCTCATTTTAATAGATTTTGACTTTTCGAGAGTTATTTACCTCAGTCATGGATTTTTTTAGGATTATAAATGGTATCAAAAGAAAGCTGACACATTTCCCCAGAGGACCTTCTATCTCAAAATGCAAACCTCTTCAGCACTTCGTCAAAAAATGCATCAATGTGCCAATTAAAGTGTGATGTAAAAGTTGCTCAACTTTATATATTTTTTTTTGTAAAAACTGTAGACTAGATATGAATATAAATATGAAGGTCCCCTGGACTGAAGTTTGGTAATTCGAAATATAATTTTTTTAAAGCGATATATCTCGTATTTTTCTTTTTGGTTTTTTCACTTCTTAGACTTCGTTTTATCTTCAGCAAGTTCTTCTTTTATAATTTGTTTCACAGACTCCACATTGCCTTTGTTTTTCTTTTCGAAACAACTATAGATATTTAGTAAATACACTAGAAGGACAAACCGGACAAGTGCCCGCTTTGCCCTGCCCGCTTTGCCCATTTCGACAATTAAAATTGCAAACAACATCTAAACTCAAAATGATGCGACAAGTGGCAGTTAACTGCTACCTTATGGTAGCCGAATAAACACAAATTGACTAACGAATTTCATTTTTAGCTTAAAAATCACAAACATAGAAAAAACAGATGTGACACACTTTGCAATATTTTTCAAAACCATGTGAAAATTATTTATTTATTACAGCACATAATTGGGTACTCGCAGGAGACCCGGACGACTGATGTGAAGTATGCGGGGGGGGATGCACTATGTCCGCGCGGTTAGGGCGCACCATCTTTTGAAACGCCAAAACTAAAGAGAGTGCCCGCTTTAGGCTCTATGCCCGCTTTAGGCCCCCTTCCCCTATACCTATTTCAGTTTTATTTGTAGATTTATAGCTAGTGGTATCACTGAATGCTTCATTTGGAAGAATACGTCCACGTTTTCGGTTGACGCGATCGTTAAAACGGACAGACCTTGCTCATTCACTATTCACCTGTCGGCTGTCTCCGAGTTATATTTATTGCGTATTGATTTATCGAGAGACGAGGTGCATAAGAGCACGGACAGGTGTACGCCCAAGCACCCCATTTACCTTGAAAATGATCAAACCGATTATTTCTCACCAGAAACCTAACTGTGTAACTTATCTTTGGCTGTGGAGTGTACCCTGCGCGCTCGCATGGGCCACGCCCACCTCTTAATCTACACGAAGAACTAGAATTTTTTGTTTAAAAAAACTCGAAGTGAGCATGCGTGTATTTCCGCAGTTGTGGCGACCAATCACGGCGAGGCACGTGGGCGGCGGCAAATTCAAACTTATCGCCTTTAGTGTTGAGTTATATATATATATATATATAATAAATTTTGATTTTTTTGCACTTTTCGATTTTTCAATTTTCTTCTATTTTGATTTAAAAATCGAGAAGCTCAAAATCGAACTTGTCTTAAATTTGTTAAAGCGAAAAATTACAAAATAAAAATTGCAAAGTTGTAAAAACTAAAAATCTAGAAAATGGAAAATTTGAAATGAAAATTAAACAAATTTCAAGTCAAAACCTGAAGAAAGAAAAAATTCAACAATCTAAAAAACAAAATAAATGGAAAATCGAAAAATTGAAATAACGAAAAATTGTAAAATAGAAAAATCTTACAATTGAAAAATTAAAAATCGAGAAATTGAAAAGTCACAGAATTTAAAAATCAAAAAACTGAAGGAAAGACAAAATCCAAAAATCTCAAAATTCAAAGGTTGAAAAAGGCGAAAAATTTAACATTGAAAACTAGAAAAATTGCAAAAAGAAAATTGAATAATTGAGAAGCAAAAAAATCTCAAAACTTGAAAAATGGAATAATTGAAAAATTGGAAAAATTTGAAAAATCTAGAACTTGAGAAATCAAAAACTGAAAAATCTTACAATAAATAAGAAAATGCAAAACCGTACAATTGAAAAAATGAAAAAAAAAATCTAAAGTGGAAATTTCAAAAGTTGAAAAATCTGAAAACCGAAAAATTTTAATTCAAACCTAAAGAAATCGAAGAATAAAAAAAATTGAAGAATTTGGAATTGAAAAATCTCAAAATAAAATTCCGAAAACTAAAAAATCGAAAAATGGAATATTTCGAAAATCGGAAAAATGGAAAAATTAAAAATCGAGAAGTTGAAAAATCAAAAATCCAGAAGTTCTAAAATTTTAAATAGAAAACTCAAAAAATTATTGAAAGATCTAAGGATTGGAAAATCAAAAACTGAAAAATTTAAAACTCAAAATAAAAAAATTAAAAATTTGGAAAATGAAAAAATCTAATACATAAATTAAAAATTAAAAAGTAGCAAATTATAGCATTGAAGAAACGAGAAACTAAAAAATTGCAAAATCATAAAACTGAGGGAAAGATTATTTTAAAAATCTAAAAATTTCAAAATTTGAAGTTTAAAAAAAAGGAAAAATTTCAAAAGGAAAAATTGAAGAAATGAAAAATTCAATAGTCTAAAAAATAAAAAATTGGAAAATAAAAAGCTGAAATAACGAAAAATTGTAAAATAGAAATGTTGAAAAAAATCTCACAATTGAAAAGTCAAAAAATTGAAAAATTAAAAACAGACAAAATTTGAAAAATCTAGAAAAAATCTCACAATAAATAAAAAAAAATGCAGAATCGTACATTTGAAGAAATGAAAAAAAATTGAAAAGTGAAAAATTCAAAATTTGAAAAATCTGAAAACCGAAAAATTTTAACTTGAAACCTAAGAATCAAGAAAATTCAAGAATTTGGGATTGAAAAATCGCAAAATAAAATTTCGAAAACTAAAAAATCGAAAAATGAAATATTTCGAAAATCGGAAAAATGTAAAAATTAAAAATCGAGAAGTTGAAAAATCAAAAATACAGAAGTTGTAAAATTTTAAATAGAAAACTAAAAAAATTATTGAAAGATCCAAGGATTGGAAAATCAAAAACTGAAAAATTTAAAACTCAAAATAAAAAAATGAAAAAATTGGAAAATGAAAAATTTGAATACATAAATTAAAAATTAAAAAGTAGGAAATTATGTCATCGAAGAAATGAGGAACAAAGAAATTGCAAAATCATAAAACTGAAGGAAAGTTTATTTTAAAAATCCAAAAATTCCAAAATTCGAAGTTTAAAAAAACGAAAAATTCAACATTGAAAACTAGAAAAATTCCAAAAAAATTGAAATAACGAAAAATTGTAAAATAGAAAAATCTTACAATTGAAAATTAAAAATCGAGAAATTGAAAAGTCGCACAATTCAAAAATCAAAAAATTGCTAAAACCATAAAACTCAAGGAAAGACAATTTTAAAAATCCAAAAATCTCAAAATTCAAAGGTTGAAAAAAACGAAAAATTTAACATTGAAAACTAGAAAAATTGCCAAAAGAAAATTGAATAATTGAGAAGCAAAAAACCTCAAAAATCGAAAAATGGAATAATTGAAAAATTAAAGATCGGGAAATTGAAAAGTCGCAGAATTCAAAAATCGAAAAATTAGAAAATGAAAAAATTGCAAAATCATGATTGAATAAAAGAAAATTTTAAAAATCCAAAAATTCCAAAATTCAAATGTTAAGAAGAGCGAAAAATTTTACACTGAAAAATAGAAAAATTGCAGAAACGAAAAATTGAATAATCGAGGAGCAAAAAATCTCAAAACTTGAAAAATGAAATAATTGAAAAATCGGAAAAATTCAAACATACAAAATTTGAAAAATCTAGAACTTGAGAAATCAAAAACTGAAAAATCTCACAATAATTAAAATTCAGAACCGTACAATTGAAAAAATGAAAAAAAAATCTAAAGTGAAAATTTCAAAAGTTGAAAAATCTGAAAACCGAAAATTGAAGAATTTGGAATCGAAAAATTGGAAAATAAAATTCCGAAAACTAAAAAATCGAAAAATGAAATATTTCGAAAATCGGAAAAATGGAAAAATTAAAAATCGAGAAGTTGAAAAATCAAAAATCCAGAAGTTCTAAAATTTTAAATTGAAAACTAAAAAAAATTATTGAAAAATCTAAGGATTGAAATTTCAAAAACTGAAACATTTAAAACTC